TTTCAAAGCCAAATTTCCACTAAAACAAAATTATGGTGACTGTTTGGTGGTCTGCGGTTCTTTGGAATCTGGAATCGTCAATTTCACTAATGGTCTCAACTACAAAAGAGTTTTTACCAATAACTCAAGTAGGCCATTGGCCGCTCATGAATTTTAAAATAATTCTTTGGAATCTGGAATCGTCAATTTCACTAATGGTCTCAACTACAAAAGAATTTTTACCAATAACTCAAGTAGGCCATTGGCCGCTCATGAATTTTAAAATAATTCAGGGGTACATAAGCACCGCGTCCGAAGACGAAGGAAGGTTGAGATGGCAAAGCCTCGAGGTCAAGCATTCTGTTACTGCATTGAAGCAGGGAGAAGTCCTCTCGGTAGGTGAGATGTCATTCGCCAGAGCCAGTCACTTGGGAGGTCACCCTCCCAAGAACTGACACCGCGAAATGCTGCTTGAAACAGTGAGCTGTGAGTTAAGTTAAATTTTGAAAATAAAATAAAAATCTTGTAATATACTGCATAAGTAATGGTCTTTTCTTGGGATTCCATTTTTCTATGTTGATGTTTATGCTAAACATATTGAGGTTGTATATCGCTTCACCATTTGCATACCTGTTTAATATGGCCATTCTCATCCAGCACAGCTTCCTAAATCTGGGCGAAACGATTACGGCATATAAGTATTGTCAGCAAATCAACGAAATGGACTGAAAATTGTAACGCATGTGCTCGGCATTGGTCAATAGAAAGCGGCCAGTTCTTTTCCATAACTATGCTCGGCCGCACGTCGTGCAGCTGACCCTCCAGCAACTGAACGAATTGGGATACGAGACTCTTCCTCTTTTCCCATATTCGCCTGACCTCTCACCGACCAGTTACCACTTTTTCAAACATCTGGATAACATTCTGCAGAAGAAATGCTTCAGAAACCAAGACGAGGTCAAAAACGCCTTTGACAACTTTATCGCGTCCAGAACTCAAGAATTTTATTCTACTGGCATAAATAAACTTATATCTCGTTGGCAAAAATGCATTGCTTTGGCTGGTGCTTATTTTGATTAATAAAATTGTTTTTGAGTTGAGTTGTAATACTTTAAAGATATAAGTTAAAAACCTGCATTATTTTCAGGACAACCTAATATTATCAGAGAATTATTAAACTGGGTAAAATCGATAAAAAAGTATTAAGTGCGCTGCCAAAATATATTTACTAGAAGATTTACACTGGTGTGCAAAAATTAAGGACGAAGTCGAAAAATTAGCATATCAGCTGAACGAAGAGGCAGAGCGAACAGAAAGACCAATCAGGAGATTAAGTAAGGTGATGTACGGTAGCACATGCGCAGATATGCAGGTAGACGTAATGGGGAAGTGTCTGAGTAGTATAAAGCATGTTGTCGGTGTAAGATCAGTATTTCTGGCAAATAGATTGCACGCCGTATAGCAGTTAAAATCACATCGAGTTGCTCCCACAGCGAGAAATGGCGAATAATCAATCTGTTAGACGACATCTGGAGGCTTTTACCCGAGGTCGAATCATTGGGAAGTTGGAGGAAGGCCGCAGTGTGACAAGTGTGGCTGCAGAGTGCGGAATTGCTCACAGCATCGTTTCACGACTTTGGATACAATTTCAAACTACAGGAACAGCTATCCGGGGGGTTAGTAGTGGTCGTCCACGAGGAACCACACCCGCAGATGACCGGTATATTGCCTTACAGGCCAGAAGAAACAGGCGGCAGACAGCGGGAGAAATCGCTTAGACACACGACACAGGCGACGGACGACCGATATCGCGTTTTACCGTGGCCATAAGACTGCACGGTGGTGGTCTGTTTGCACGACGCCCTGTACGGTGTGTACCTCTAACGCCTGCCCATTGGAGAAGGCGTTCTCTGTGGTGCCGGGAACACACCGGAATTGGAGAGACAATGACTGGGGACGAGTACTCTTTACAGACGAGAGCAGATTCAGTCCGAGTAGCGATTTCTCATCGCATACTCATCTGGAGAGAGAGCGAGGAAGCCGCAATCATCCCTCGAACATCATTGAAGGCACAGGTATGGAGGGTGGCGGTGTTCTCGTTTGGGGAGGCATCATGCTTGGTAGTCGTACAGACCTTCACATCTTCGACGCAGGTTCAGTCAACGGGACCCGTTATTGTAACGAGATTCTTCTTCCATATGTGCGTCTTTTTAGAGGCGCTATGGGTCCGCAGTTCCTTTTGATGGACGACAATGCACCATGTCATCGCACAACCGTAGCTGCCGAACAGCTCTTAGAGAGTGAGGATATTGAACGTATGGATTGGCCGGCACGATCTCCGGATCTCAATCCCATCGAGCATGTATGGGATTTTCTAGGCAGACGCTTGGCAGCTCGTACCTTACCACCAGTAACGATTCCGGAGCTTCGATTGGCGCTGCAAGACGAATGGCATTGGCAAATATTTATTAAATTATTTATAAACATATTTGAAATGAAGGATTTATTCATTCATAAACTTATGTGAAAGTTATTAAATGTATCTAAATTTATAATGATTATAAATATTCTCTAAATATATAACAACCTTAACATTGAATTGTAAACATAAATTAAAATCTTGTTGACAAATACGTTTATAAAACTATTTAAGCAAGAATTTTTCATACTGAAAAGCAATCCGTTAAAAGGTATTATAAAGCAAACTCTCTGAGATACGTACTTAAGGAAGTAATAAGGAAGAGTTTTAGAATATGTATTTTTGAAATTAAGGGTAAAAAAAAAATCTGATAAGTATAACTTAAAGAATACATTACATTTTATAATAACTCACTTATAAGTTTTAAATAATATTTTTTTTTAAAGTCCTTTTCCTTTCCTTATTCCTTTTCAGAAACATTCAGAGAAAGTTAAGTACATGGAAATGAGCACCAATATTTAACGTATTGCACTATTAAAATAAAAGTTACTCTAATTTGAAATAGACCAAATAGAGCTTTAATTATATACTGACTTAGATTTTTTTTTTATTTAAAAGATGCCTCTCAGAAGCTAAAAATATTATGTCAGATTTTAGAAAGTATTTTAGGAAGAAGCTCTACAAATAGAAAAGAAATAATACGTCATTTTAATATTAATAATACAACAAACTTTGATCTTAATTTTTGTAATCCTTAACCGGATAAAATCGAATTACCTTAAGATCTTTTTCTAATGTAACTAACCAAAACTTCTGAAAATATTTCATTCAAATTAAACGGTTCTGAGCAAACTGTTCTGTGAAAAGTATAGCATTTAATTCCGTTCAGAATGAAATGTTGTTTAAAAATGTATTCTTTTCACATACTTAGAACTCTGAAATATTGTACAAAAAAATATACATTTATATGTATATTTACAACGTAATAACAAAATATTTACATCCGATCATATCAAAACACATTGATCTTAATGGTAACTCAATGTTTTGGTCAGCATGAAGGGATCGCCAGTGCTTCAAAGCAGTGTATGGGAAAACATGTTAGGGCCTCTCCTTACTTCCTACTTCCATGCTTGAGGCAGGGGGTATCTACATCCAAGACCTGTTTCAAGTTCTTTGCCTGCTTTACTCTGCAGACGATCGACAACACAGGCATGAAAAGCAATGACGTTACCAAAACCTTTAGGTTTGCAAAGTATTTTCCAAAGTCCATGAAGATTTGACTCCTTGATTTCGAGACAAAAGTTATTAGCATGTAAGTTTTCTCAAAATGTACTTATAGTCTAGATTTTTTTATTTAAAATAGATTGTAAATTATATAAAACATATAAACTATAAATTAAAAGCCTAATATTTTTAAAATCCAGTTGTTTCTCTTACCATTGCCTAATCTTTTGTGACAGTGTGCTATATTTTGCTTAAGAAACACTGCAACAAACTTCTTCAAATGTTTCATAATGGTCAAAACAGATCATTTAACAATAACAAGAAGTATTTTACATTTCACTCAAAAAGAAAACATATTAAAAATAAGTAAAATGTTTTGAAAATCACAGAAAAAAATAGTATTAAATTTTTAACATACGCAAAACTAATTATCCTAAATTTTATATCCTGCGTAGTTTCAAAGAAATAGTTAAGATAAACAACTGAGAATATTTAAACCTTTCAGGATAAATAGTTTTCAAGGAAAGTGTACCGAAAGGAAAAAAAAAAAAAAAATGCCCGCACCATAATCATCTTGAACTGACATTTCAATATTTTAACTGATTAATAACGTCGGGTGAAAAGCCCCTTTCCATAGCTACTGCTCTTGGATCCCATTCTGGATGTGAATTCCTGTGGTATTTACAGGATAACTTGCCAGTGTGGTTTAATTTATATTGGTCAAACTAAGAGAGCCTTAAAATTTCCCGTTAAGAAACATGAAGCATATGTTAGGAAAAGGAAACACAGAATCCTTCTGCTGCCCAACACTGTTGGCTCAAAAATCACACTTTCAGTTTTTCTGCAGCAAAAATTATTCAAAAACCATCTTCCATTGGTGAATTAGATTTTCTAGAGGCAATTCACATTAAAAAAATCTTTCTGTTCTAATTAACTACCCTAATTCCAATCCATATTTGCCTTCACTCTTTACGGAAATTATGTTTTAGTTCTCATTTCATCAACAGATGGTGCCAGTAACTTAACTCCTGTCCAATCTTTCTTATCTTATCTAATCATATATCTTATCTCGTTCATTTGCGCTTCTGCAGCTGAGGATGATTGTTCGGTAAAACCATTGAAACTAGTCCTGTGAAATTTTGAAAATATAACTTGTTTGACTTCCAAATTAATGCAGAAACAGACGAAAATGGAATTTTAATCTATTTTTCATTCAGAAAAATAAATTAGTTAAAAAAAACATATTTTGCAACCATTCATTAAGATTATGAATACGAAATGTCTTACACAAGATATTATATGAAATTAAAAGAAATTAAGTGTCCATATTATGCAATGGGTTTATTTTTTTTTAATATTACTATTTACTAGGTTCTTGAATCTGCACAAATAGTAAAACGTTTTATTAAAAAAAGTCACAGCAAATTTATATACAAAACAAATGTTGATCGGATAAAGCTGCTCTACATTAGTGATATATACACATGCCACAAATACATCATTTAAAGAGAAATTAATTTTTTATAATACATCACAGCTGCCAACTTCTGCAGTTTTTCATCTCCCAGTCTCCTGGTAGATCACCAAATGACCTGGTTTTTAATTTTAGCCTTTACCAAAGAAAATGTTTACCAGAAATTAATAACATTATTGAATTAATGAAATTGAGTAAGTCTATCCTCTTACCCTAATAGTTTTCAGCACAATGCTTCTTACTAAATATTATTTGCCCTTAATCTGTCTTAATCTACTGTAGACATTTAGATATAATTTTATGAAGATTCAAGCAATGTCTAATCATCAGGGGTCATTACTTCATTGGTCATTTAACCATTTCATCACTGAGAACCTTGTACAAGTGCACTAGAGGAGGCGACCAATTTTACACCCATGAGAAAGGGGGGAAGTTCTATCCAAATTTTGATGGAGAACATCCTGGGAGATGCATCCGAGGGTCTACCCTTTCTTCCATACTTTATAAACATCCAAGCCTTCTCCAAGATTCAAACTCAGACCCAACAACATGGTACCTAGCAGTGCTAACAAGTATACCGATCAAAGCTGTTTTTGTCAGTATAAAAGAGTACGAAACTTACAAAATAAAATTTTACAAAGCCAGAAAAAAATAAAATTTTGGATATACAATTAAATATTAAAGTATTTTATATCAAAATCATATGATATAAAACCTAAACCATGCATTATAAAGTTAATTTATGTCAAAATCATATGATATAAAACCTAAACCATGCATTATAAAGTTAATTCATGTCAATCTGAAATTTCGATCGCTAATAAATTATACTCAATAACATAAATCATGTGTTACAAAATGAATTTATACCAGTTTGGAGTTATGAAATAAAGTTTCTGAAATGGCACAAACTTTTTTTGTGTGAAAAATTACGGATTTTTCATATTTCAACATTGGCAGCTGTGATACAAAATTGTATAATACAATATTCAAATTATCTGAGTTAGAAAAAAGAAGCCATTATTGACATTTTTATTTGTTTAACCATATTTTTAAGTGCATTCAACTTGACTTTTAATACATTTTATGCACAAATTATTTTTGGAAATAAAGGAACTGTCAGCAGATATTTATATATAATTTCATATACACAATTATAATACATGACTAATACAAATTACTTCAAGTAACTTATTTCTGTACAAACGTATTTTCTCATTGACCATGAAAGTTAGCTGGTATCTGGCCCAAACTGCACCTATGATTCTGATAGAAGTTCAAAGGAACAGCTTGTTCTTTATTTTGTTAGATAATAACACATCACACTTTGATTAAATAACCAACAGACATATTATGAATTTTTATATAGCATATTACAAATATGATACATAAAAACTTAAATGACAATAAGCTTTGAATTTATCTGATAAATTCATTAAAACTCGTGCCAATCATTTTGGCAATGAAAAATTCCTAATGGAATATAAAATAACAACAAAACTGTCAACACCTGTATGAATTTGATGGCACATAAATTCACTTCAATATGAATCTAGTGGTTTTGCAATGTTCCATGATATCTTTAACTGCATCATTTAGATGAATCCACAGTCTTTTAATGTTTCAAGGTATATGCATCAGTAAAATCAGCCCCACAACTCAGAAAATAAACCCCTATTTGTTTTTTTTCTAGGAGGCAGGTCCTGAATATTAGCCAATTTTCAAAATGCATGAGAAGAATACAGAAACAGAAGTTCATTTAAACTTTCCTTACAAACCTAACCTGGCTTACTATTGATCACAGTTACATAAAATCAGAGAAAAGTTCTTATACGTGTATTGTGATATCATGCTTATTAACTACTGGTGATGATTTGCACTGTTTGGTAACACTGTTGAAAATGGTCGAAGACAAAATACGCAAGTACCATTTTTCCATTACAAACTTTGCTTTTGTTAAAAGATTAATAAGGTAAAACAGTATTATGCACCAATTCTAAAGCAATTTATCTACAGTAGACTGAAGTGGAAATCTAGGAATGGTTGTAGTATCATGGCTAAATAAACTCTTTGTTTTCTTTGTCTCAATATGTAATATTTCAGTCGATTTAATTGCAACCAAATTATTAGGAACTATATCATTTTTTAGTGTTTTTTTCTGATTTGTAGGATGTTCCTTTAGAGTAAAGCCAATATTGTTTTCATGTGTTGAAGAAATTTGAAATTTACCACTTTCTCCTGCAACACTGAAGCTGGTTAAACCTTTAGGACACATTTCATCATGACTAGCCCACTGTTCCTTGCTACTATTATAAAAATTAAAATTCAGAATGTGCTGTTTCTTGAAGTGAAATCCTTCAACAGTGGAATCCCTCGGTTTAACAGATAAGAACCTAGTATTGAAGTTTTCAGGGAACACAGCCTGATTGTTTCTCATCTCAACAGAAGATGTATGGGATTCAGTTATCTCTTTATAAGTTTGACTTTCTGTAACTGCAATGTCATTTTCAATTTTAGGGCTTGTTTTAGCTATCTCAGCTTGTACAGCAGAATACAATCCGTTATTCTGACGCTTAATTCGCATTCTAAGTCTATCTTGGGCACGTTCTTTTTCTTTATAAGCTGGATCTAGTCTTTTAACATGCAATCTAGTCTTCTGTTGTTCTCTCTCCCTCTCTCGGAAACATGGGTCACTCCTCTTCATCTTCATACGCTCTCTCTGGCGTTCCCTTTCTTGTGAACGAAAAACTGGATCTAACCTTTTTAAACGCATGCGGTATCGTCCTTTTTCACGTTCTGCAGCACGAAAGCGAGGATCCTGACGTTTAATCCTCATAACTGTTCTCTGCCGAACTCGTTCCTGTGTTCTGTAATATGGATCCAAACGTCTCTGCTTGGTTTTAAGTTTATTTCTGGTTTTGTAGTCAAATCTGAAATAAAAGAATGCCTTCAGTACCTAAACATATTTTACATAATTCTTCCTGAAATCAAAGATGTCATTACATAAAATATAAATAGCAAAAATGACAGACAGGGTATACTAGTTCTTTTTGAAGAATAAATCAATTAAATTACTTTATGAAATCAAGGTACTGCAGCATACACAGAGCAAACTTTTAAATTTATTAACAGATGAGTTAATTCAAAATAATGTTCAGTATATAACGCTTGGTTTTTCATCTACAAACAGATGCAATTTGTAACACAATACTTCATTAATAGGGTGTAAACTTCCGTTGGAAGTGAATACTGCCAATATCTCCTTGAAAAGAACTGACACAAGCCTTCTATAAACATTAAAGGTATTTTTATTCCTTTCTCTTGCAAAACAGTGGTTAGTTTGCTTCATAATGATAGAAAAAACATTTTCAGGCACCATGTTGAGTTCAATTTACTGAGCAGGTAACAGAAGTGGTTCAAACTAATTTGCATGTTTTTCATACTGCTCTATTACTGGTGTGCACTGGTACAAGGTCATCTTCATACACAGTAACACTTTCAGAGTATAATGTCCTTTAGAACGTGTCACATGAAAGTGATGTGATTATAAAGAACAAAACATGGTCCTAGAGACCACAATACCCAAAAGTGGAAAAGACAGTGAAGGCAAAATCATTACTGAAAATGCATACTTTGCATAGTCCATCCAAGTTTTGCACACCTGACATAACTGAAACCAGTATTTGGCAATCTCTGTAAAAATAGCCTGCTTTGAAAAAGTTTGTTAAAAAGTTATGCTTCATGAAACTTTCAATACATGAATATGAATATCAGAGAGTTAGTCTACTGCTTACAGGAAGTTGGCAGGACACCAGACCTATATAAATGATTTTACAGGTATAGTCCTCACTGCACTACCCGTACAGCTGCATAGGAATTTTGATGAAGAACACCTTGGGACACAGATCTGAGGGTCTCTTACCACCAAATGTTTCAAGTGAACTTTTGATTTGCCAGTATTTTAAGCATCCTCGTATGTTGCACAGGAAGTATACACTTACAAACATCTAAGCCTTCTCTGGGATTTGAACAAGGGCCAAACAATAAAATAGCCAGCACTGCAAGCAGCTATACTGATCATGTCAGCAGCTTACTATATATGTAGGAAATATATGGAGTGGTACCATTCAGAAAAACACACGTCATATATCAGCACAAATGGAGATGAAACATCTTTTGATCACTGGGTGCAATACTGGTAGATTTTATAGCTAATCTTTGATAGCATTTTTTCAACAGGAAAATGAAAACATCTGAAACATCTTACTTTTGAAAGGTCAAGAGCAAACATTAAAAATGTGATAGTGTTACAGGAAGGATTAAGCTAAAGGGGAAAAAAAAAAAAAAAAAAACCTCCCTGTAAGACATAAATTAATGCAATTTAAAAAAAATTTAATTCATAATAAAGTGAAATTCCAAAAAAATTGTGGTGTGAGAAATGCTGCAAAAAATGCAAAAGTTGTAGAATTGCAACTGTAAAATTTGTATCACATTCCATGAAGAGCTTTCATGATTCAATATTTACAGTTTTTCTTTCTTTTCTTCATAAAAGAAATAAAATGGTGTAATTCCCACAGCAATGAATATAGGCTACACAATTATAAAACTTTAAAATTTTATGCGAGGAATAAAATCTGAAGAATCATGACTGGAAATAGAAGAAGGAAGTTGCTCATCTAACATTACCTTCACCCCCTTAACTGAAACATAGATTAAAGCCTACAGAAACTCTCTCTTACATAACTTACTACACTTCACAGATGGCAAGTTGACAGTGCTTGTATAATTGTAAGATATTTTTTTTCTTACAGTTAATAACAAATACGTTTTTACATTCTAATTGTATTTCATGTGTTTGCAGTTTGGATTATCCCTTAATGAGGTAAGAAACTTCAATTCTAATTTAATATTTGCTTATGGAGAATTTATGTTTAGATGACAAACAAATTAACTGTACATTCCTTCAACATTTGATTATGAGACTGAGTGCAAGTTTACTTCATCCGAATGCATAACTCATACCAAGATAAGCTATTAAGAATAAAAAGAGAAAATAAATTCTGTCATAAATTACCACGGTATAGTAGGAAAAAGGCAACCAAATCTTTGAAAAGCAAGACAAAACTAATATAGCTGCATACTGTGCATTTGAAAAACAGAAGCAAGACTGGATACTAGCTGTGAAAATAAGTAGTCAATTGAAAAATTAAACAACAACTATCAGCTAAGGAAATAGAAATGATTGTGAAAAAGGAAAATTTATGGGATTTAATTATTACTGAAAGGATGAAACGAGATGAATAAACACAAGCTACCAAAAGTTTACTCATAGAAGACAACCAAATCATTCTCCAGCAAAATTTATTTTCTCAGAAAACTGTGTACATTAAAAGGAGAAAAGCAAATACAAGCTTGAAGAAGGTATCAACAAAACATTTGAGATCTTGAATGAATTTGGTGAATGAATTGGTGAAGAAACAAAGGACAGTCATATTGCAGCACTCTTACTCAGTCGCTTACCGGCAACCTACAAAAATCTTTTACAGCTTTAGAAGTGCATCCAAACATGCTAACGCTGGAATATGTAAAAACAAAACTATCAAGGGATGCTCAAGAAGAAAAGAAGGTATGTGAACAGATGAGACAACTGTTTTCAAAACAAATTTCAACACAAAATTCAAACATTTCAGTCAATGAAGATACAATTATTGCACAAAATTAGGGCATCTAGAAAAAGAATGTAGATTCTTCAATGAGACTACAAAGAAAAAATAAAAGTAACCCGCTTTTAAAGAGTAAAAAGAAAGTGAATAAAGGAAATTACAGAAATAAATAAAAAATGAAAGTTGCTGTAAAAAAGGATACACATGAAGATGAAAATAAAGATAAGAAGCTTGAGAAGAGTTCTTATCTTTATTTTCATTGAAGTTATCAAGATATTTTTTTTTCATTCAAAGTTATCAAAGATGAAAAATTTCAAAGCTCAAATTGGTTAGCTGATTCAGGAGCTACATATGACCGATAATAGAAATTTAGCACTCAAATGAAGTCCAAAGGCGGAGAAAGATAATTATACTGTACAGATGACAAAGATAATGAAATAGAAGTAAAACTTGTAGACGTTTTATACGTTCCTGAAGAATACGTCAAAGAAGGGCAAAACATTACAAACAAAGAGTTTATAATTGAATTTGAAGAAGACATCTGCAGAATAAATAAGAAAAATAAAAACATAGGCACTGCTAAAACAGAAGAAAATTTATATAAGATAAACGAATCACAAAAGAAAAAAGCCAAAATTCCCATTATAAAAGTGGAAACAGCATGGATCTTTAGCACACAAGACTAGGATACAGAAATTCTAAATCAGTCAAGAGGCTGAAGAATGATGACCTGGGAACCAGAATAAGAATTGATAGAGAAATTAAAAAAGAATGTGAATTTTGCATCAGAAGCAAGATGTCTGAATAGCTGTATTGCAAGCTAAACAACTACAGACCTAAATCAATTTTGGACTTAATATACAGCAGCACAGCTTATTGCCTAGTTCCAAAGCAGAAAAGAAATAAACTGGATGAAAAAGAAGAAAAAGGAATTTTTGTTGGATACAGTGACTGTACAAAAAGAATACAGAATTTTTTTGACACAAACAACACTGCCATTAAAAGAAGCGTAATATTGATGAATACAAAAAAGCAGGAAATACCTTATCAAATAAATGATCAGAATGAGGAAATACAATGGACTTTTAAGGAAAGTGAATCAAGAAAAATCATGTCCAGATGCGACAACAGAAGGAATCAAAATTGAAGACATTCCCCTATTACTGAGAAGACCCCAAAGAATTACCAAGGGAATCCTGCCAAACAGATTCTTGTGCATAACAAAGAATGAAGAAATCAAATCAAATTAATAAAATCAATTAAGAAATAATCATTCTTTTAATCAATATTACGCTTTTTCTAAACACTAACAAGAATTGCAAACATTTTCAACCAAAAAAAGGAATTGTTGTTGAAATCCACAAAAGAAGAAATAGAATCATTAAAGAAAAATAAAACATGGGAACTAGTTGATCTTCCAAAAGGAAATAGAACAACTGGAAGTAAATGGACTTTCAAAATAAAATACGATGCTTCAGGAGATGTTATGCAATATAAAGCTTGTCTAGTAGCTAAATGATATTGCTAAAAATCTGGGCTGAAATATTTGCACCAGTGATAAAATACACAACAGTAAGGACTATCTTGGCAACAGCAGCTCAAAAGAACATGCATGTAAATCATTTCAATGTAAAAACAGCTTTTCTATATGAAGACCTGAAAGAACAAACAAAGCAACATGAAGGCTACCTCTTGTAAAGAGAAGCAAATGTCTCTAAATTAAACAAAACTATATATGGTGTTGGAACTTTTCATAGGATAGAGGGCGCTGTTGCGCCAAAGGAATTCTGTTTTTTTTTTTTTTTTTACATTATGTAACTGTAGTTCGCCATTTGCGATGTATGTGTATTTCTGTGATATATTTTGGTGTTTTCATTAAATATAAATGAAAGATATCGTCATGAATATTTTGTATCCAAATCAAGATCAAATTTACCACTGATGCAAACTCGTTTAAACAAAATATAGTTCGAACAAGAATAGTCGAGTTATTACTAGCCTTTCGAACTACGCATTAGTATCGTTAATCGCTTCGTAAAATGTGGTGCTGTCGCCGGGAATTTATCGTAATGGTGGGGTGAGTAAATAGTTTTGTTGAAAATTTGGTTGAATAGAATATTTTGTAATTGTTGAAGTAGTAGGGTTGTTTGATGTTGTTGATCTTGTTTGGTAAAAATTTACAACTTTAGGTTTCGCATTTACTGAATATTTGCATTGGTATTTGCAAGTAAGAAAATGTTGTGCTTTCTTAGAATTAGAATTTGTTG